TACTTATAGTATCGCAATATATCGGGATATATCGTATCGTGACCCCTCTGTCATGATATGTATCGTATCGCCAAATTCTTGCCAATACACAGCCCTAGTTCGTACGAACCCTTTGTACGAACAAAAGTAAGAGAAATTTAGGATAAGAATATGAACATGTTCTTGCATGAGGCCCATTGTGTTAAAGAGTATAGACTTAACCAAAAGTAGGATTTTGAGTTCTGGATAAATATTAAAGGGTTATTTGAAGGAATGGATATGATTGTCATTCATGTCTGAGTTTTGAACTAAATGACAAAGTTGTTACCCTTTTGCTCAGACCTTGTGATGGGGATCAGTCTCAGCCAGGACCGGCCCGAGCCAATTTGGTGCCCTGGGCAGGATTCATAGGTGAATCCTTAGTGTAATTTATATACATTCAAATACCGAGTTAGTKTATTCTTTGATTTTACCTTTTAGTTTGTCCAGTGAAATCATTTAATGATTAATTTGGAACAGAATACAAGAGGTCTATCTCAAGAGGAACATATGTTCATATTAACCAGCAGATGTGGAGTGAAGCAGTTCTAGGGGGGTCCAGGGGTATACTCATCTGGAAAATTTAGTGAAACATCTAATTACAACTGCATTTTTCAACCATTTGCAGAGCATTTGACTAAATTCAAGGATTAACATAAAATCTGTTTTAAGAAGGTAGAGCACTGAGAAACAGACTTTAACCTGAACTTTATCTGAGATAAGTGAAACCTCCATTATTCTTTTGTTTTCATTTACTTCTGTCTTCAGACAGAGCCCACAGGCAGGTAGACGGTTTGTGAGTGACAGCCTCATGAAGTCCGCAGGATGGATACTGTCCTCATGACAGCAGGGGGTTGAGAAGCCCTTGTCTCACCCCTAACGAGCCTCAGCGGGCTCCCGGCGCTGGTATCAGTCGCTTGCTTCTCGGTAGTAAAATTAGGTTAGTGACATTCAGACTTCATCCAGACAGGTGCCCAGACGGACACGCACTCCTCAGAGAGAGACCCAGTCAGAACCATCCTTCCTCCAATGACAGACAAGAACAACTGTTAACTGTGTGAACAGAAAGTTAGTTCTTTGAGAGGAAAAAAAAGAGTGAGAAGAAAACAATCTGTTTTTCTCACACTGGCGCGGCCAGCTGGTGTTGTTATCAGCAAAGACCTTGGAAGTCTGAATAGACAGACTAAACTGTGTCTTATAAATCACTTCACCTAAGGTTATAAATCAGAACAATCCACTTTGCACAGATGGATTAATAGTAAAATTAATAGTACACAATAATTAATCATTAAATCAATTAAGAAAAATGATAAAACCATGATTAATAAACCAGTACTAAGAAAAAACAGTAAAACACATTTCAACTCTTTTTTTCTTCACAGTGTTAAACTCTGGAATAAAGAGAGATACATAGATTAATTCAATAAAACTTTGAGTAATGATATGTTGACTATAACCTCTAATAGAAGATTAAATGAAATAAAACATATAGAACATATTGTCCTATTCACTTAAAGAAAATAGAAACAAACTTTAAAATGACTTTCTTCTTATAAGTGTAAAAGCAAAATCAAAGACAAAAAAAAATAGAAATGTTTATTTCACCAGGGTTACCCCTACAACACTGAGCACCAGTAGTTAGTCTTGACTGCATCATATGATACTTTTATCGTGAAATATCCTCTGCACCGTATAATACCTCATGTAAAGCAAAACAAGTTACATTCATAAACCTTAGTGGTTAATCTATAGACTAAATCAACTCTGACAAAAAGTTGTGAAATATCTTCTTTTGACCCCCATAGTACCCCCTAGATAGATATCACCCTTAGCATTTGCCTACACTGCCTATGCCACAGGCCAGCCCTGGTCTCAACCACTACCAGTTTAGCTCAGTATCTGTCAAATTAATGGGATTATAATCATTTTACTGTTTTCTTTTTTAAAAGATTAATTAGCTGTTGTGTTTGAAATTGGGTTGGGTTCAAAGTGGAATTAGTTGTACATTTAACAATTAAATTGCAAGCTTTRTTAAAACCTTTAGAGGTTCATGTGATTTCTAAATCCACTAGAATACCATCATCCCACTTTGCTTTACGGCAGCTGGTGATAAACTTCAACACCAATGTTTAGACGCTTTAAATACACATTCATAACTGACACACCTGCAAAATGTCTCCAAATTAATAGAGCAGCTTACATTCGGTAAAAGCTGCTGTTTATTTTCTGCTATCTTTTTTCAGGACTCCTAATCAAACACGCCTAAGGCCAGTAGATGGATAAACACACAAGCAGATAGATTTTGGCACCATTTCAGCTCTTCTCTGAAGCAGTGCATGGGGAGCGAGGAAGTGTTGGCCGACAAAGCGCACACACAAACACAAATCACCATAATTACTAAATACATACTTTTATTGTAAAAAGAGATGTACCCTCTCACCCAGAAATGTGGTTAACAAATCATGGCAGTTGCTGTACAGAGAAACGAATGATTACACATTCCTTTAGATTTGTAACCACATGACCACGCGCTGATATTTCTTTTAAATTACCAATAAACTCTGAAAGACACTTCTGTAAAGACAATTATTATGTAAAACGATATTTTTTCACCCATCTCTCTGGCACATGCAGGGGGCCAATAAGCTTTTTATCAAAAATGTATTTTCCCCTCACAGGSTGGGTGACAATCATTTTAGTCACATTAATTAATGCATTTCTTTGCATTTCTTCCTTCTAAAGATTTTTTTCCCTCCCAAACACTCAAAAGTGTTAAGAGTTGATTCCAGTGCAAAACTCTGCATTTTGGTTGGCTAAGGAGCTGGTTTCCCTTCAGAGAGACTCAGATGTCCTCGGTGTTTTACTTTATGTAAGGAATGTTTCTGTGTGGGCTTTAAAGCGTTGCTTCAAAAGAACCCCACAGGGAAATGATTCCCTTTAAAAAAACTAAACAAACAAACAAAAAAACATTCCCCCCCGTCATTTCACTGCTGATACAGTGCTCTCAGCTAACCAGTGGTAGATCTAGACAGGACCCAGCAACACCCTGATCCAGTTTAATCACGTCAGCTGTTAGTAAGGCTGATAGGAGGTCGGACCCTGTAATACCCATCCTTGGCTCAATAACGGTGGTGATGTAGCCCCCGTAGCTCAGGCACGTTTCAGCACATCTCCCCGTAAAACGWGGGCCGACGCTACACCTGAAGCAGACCCGAGCAGCCTGCCCGTGCAGGATTGTGCCACATTTATTGGGGGCGGGGAGGAGGGAGGGGCTTCTATACGTCTTCTGAAAGAAATCTGACTTTCTTCCGTGTCAGCAGCCAGCCCCTGATCGAGGGGAGCTTCATTTTGTCCTTGTTTTTGCTGTAAACATTCAAAAAGATGCCGAAGAGAACCAGAAGGCCACCCCAGATGTACCTGAAAAGAGCAAAAAGGGATAAAGTTACAAATTTTATCAGAAAAACACTCATTATTGCTAATGTGAAGGTAAACGCTTTTCCAATCATTGAACTTTGATCTGTCACGTTACAGCGTCAAACATTTGGGATTTTACGTGTTAGATCAATGCAAAAATAGTGTCAAATTTAGAACTGAAGAAAGAATGATGATTTTATTTTTAATATACATTTATTTATTTAACATATAAAGGGATTTATCTTCTGTAGTTTGTGTCGGTTTGACTTTAGAGTAGGGCGGAGGTTCACCTTCCAGCAGGAAAACAACAGAATCCAGACAGAGCTACAATGGAGAGGTTTAAATCCAAGTCCAGACCTAAATCCATCTGAAAATCTGTGCAATACTTGAAATTCATTATTTACAGGTGCTCTGCATCCAATCTGACTGAATTTGAGCTTTCTTTCAAACAATAATAGAACAAAAACAGTAAGTCTCTAGACATGGAAAGTTAGTAAAGACAAACCTTAAAAAGGGGTTTCTAAAAAGTATTGACTCCGTGGGTGGGGGTGGGGGCTGAATAATTGTGACCCGTCACATCGAAACGAGGATTAAGTCCAAAAGTGGTATATGGAGAAATAGGCAAATACTGTTTTGACTAAAATGTTAACAAAAATTGCAGTTTGTCAAAATATATTGAATAAATGCCTTAACAATGTATCATTTGTCCTGATGCATCTCAGTAATCCAGGTAAAAAAATCATAAAGAAAAAAATTGTATAGGTCTTCTGGACCAAAGCAGCCACTGTTCAAAAGAATGTCCCAACACAGACGAGCTACATCTAATGGCCAGAAC